CCACGAATAATTAGGTAATGTTATGTAATGAGCAGGGTCTAAACCATAATAATTTAAACACATATCCCTAAAGTTTTCAAAAACATCACTAAGCAAATAAACATCTGTCATCAAATATAAATCATGGTAATAACCTAGGTTTTTGATATTGAAATTATCCCATATTACTTTTGCCCTTGTGTGTTGTGTATCTGTTATGCCTTCTTCATATAATTGACTGTAAAAGTCTTCTATACTTGGTAATTGCGATTCATTGAATTTATCAAATGAATTCATGTAGTCGTAAGGATAAACTCCTTTTTCAGTTAATAAGTCTAAATCGGTTTTATTTCTAATATATGGATTTGCTGATGAAAATCGGAAATTATCCTTCCAGTCATTCCGCTTTTTATATATAGGTTTATCATGTTCATCTTTACCTACTATGTCATATTTATTTAACTTAACTAATTTATCCAAAGATGCTGAGAGAAAAGCCATGCTATCTTTAAACTGTAATGAACCAAATGAAAATGTAATAAACTTTTCGCTATTTTGTGCTATTACATCTATTCTCTTATTTTCGTTCAATTCCTTATTTATTTCATTTGCTTTGCCTATGATTAAGTGAGAGTCATAGTTTTTTAAATTATGAAAAAATACTGGTATCTTGAAATATCTAAATGAATAATCCAAATTACATTTTTCGTGAGCACAACCTCTATAATTACCGGTAAAATGACAGTGGTCTCTGACTTTTGTATCTTCTGGTTTAAAATTCTTATTACATATTGAACATACAGTAGCTTTTCTAAATTCTGCTTCTTGTTCATCTGTAATATCCATTGGTTTATTAACATTCATTTTATCAAAAATATCTTTTTTAATTTCTCTTAATTTATTTACAAAGTGGTCTAAACAATCCTCTCCACGGTATAAAAAAGGTTGACTTGTATTATCAATAGAATTTACAACATTCAACATATAACCGCATGGTTTATGTTCCTGATACGTGCCCTTGATGCCATTATTTGAATTTACAGTTATACACTCAAAATCTCCATAAACAACAAATGGACATTTTAATTTTGTATTGTATTTTTCAAATTCAATATAACTACCTTCTTTTGGTAATTTAAACTGTTGTCCATGTGTTGCCATACAACCAGTTTCATAATGTTTTGTTAATAAATCCTTTCTAGTAAAGGCATGAGAACAATAATGACAATAATGTTTTGGCTGGTCATTTTTGTTTGTTTGCCAGTTCATTAAACGACTTAGACTTTTAATAACTACATAATGATTATTATTATTGATTTCAATTTTCAAAAGGTTTATTTGATGTTTAGCATCTCTTGTTTTAGTTCTGTAATCAATTATCATTTTCTTTTCATTCAAAGTATCATCAATTTCATAAACATTGATTGAAACTAACTTACTATTATTTTCTTCAAACCTTTCAATATCTTTATTACCAGTTGGAAATTTAACACCTTCCCAGTTTAAGATATTGTCATTTAATTTGTTGTAATGGAACATTTCTTGGGAATTTGATTTATTAATTATATCAAACACTACACTTTGAACACTATATTTAAAACATTTGTTATCTTTGTTTTTGATATTAATACATGCCTTTTTTAGTTTAATCCATTCTGGTAAATCTATATAACTACCCGCCCTAGTTGGGTCATATTTGTCATAATGGATTGTTATTGATAATATTTTTATAAATTGTAAATTAGATGCTGAACCTTCTAACTTTTCTATGTTCAATAAAATCTCTTTGATTGATTTTTCAATTGCTTTATCCAAATCGGTTTCATTATATATGTTTGCCCTTGTTGCAGGTAAATTATAAAGTATCTCTGTATGTTTTATTACTCCATCATCATCATAATAATGATAAAATAAACCTTCTGCCCTTATATTCAGTTTCATTGCTCTATTAGTTTTCAAAAAGGTCAAAAGTCTATCTTTTTGGTGGTGTATCATTGATAGTGCCTTTTCACCTTGAAAATGTTTATTTACTAGTTTTATAGAATTAGCATAACTTTTGAAAGCTGATTGTTGGTCTGTTACTTGGAATTTATTTTTGATTGCATATTTTGTCATTGCATTTTTCATTCTTTGTTTTAGGTATGTTGAGCGCAATGTTTTTGTTGCATAACTATTATACTCATTAGTTCTTGCTTCTGATTTTAATTTCTTGTTCAAAACATTTGAGATGGGTTTTTCTTTGTTGTATCTAAATTTTCTACCATCTATAATTATTGATTTTAATTCCTTGTTTCCTCTTTTTGGAATTTCCGCTTTATCATTATTCAACAGATAATCTATAACATGTTTCATAATACTATACTATATAAATTTAATGTGTTTATTTCTTTAAGTGGCTTTTTAGAAAATATACTTAAAGATTTAAAACCTTAATATAATAAGAGGAAAATGAACGGTGATAAAATCAATAATTATATCAATAAAAAATGCTATGATTGTTGTCACTTCAAAAAAGAAAATATGGAATTGTATAAATTAAATTTACCTAATGAAATAGTGAATAATATTATTAATTATTCAATGGATGAAAAAGTCGAATGTGAAAATTGCCAGGAATGGAGAGATAATCAATTTTTAATCAAATGTCTGTTGAGAATAAAAGGAAGACATAATAGAAATGTAGAAGATGAGATTTTAATATTTCTAACTGTAAATAAAATACCACCTTATGATTATGTTAAACAGTTTCTTAAAATCAGTAAGAAAAATATGACATGATTTATGATATATTATGGATGTTGGGATATAGTCAAGAGAAAGGAGAAGATGTTAAAGAAAATATCAAATTATTTATTGAAAGTAAAAAGTTCAATATTCAAAATACATTGAGAGATATTAATATTATTTTTAAAATGATGTATGAAAGAAGAAAGATTTGTCAATTAAATTATTATCCTGTACTGAAATTGTAATCATACTATAATAATAACATGTAAAATCTTATATGTTATAATTATACTGTACTTATGGTTTGTAAAGATTGAAATATTTTATTTTTCCTTGATTTGGTTATCTCTTTCAAAGTGCGTTGTTTGAACTTGGCATGCTCTTTTGATTTTTTCGTGCTTTGGCTGTTTGTATTTTATTTTGTTTGATACTCTTCTGATATTTTTTGATGGTATGTTGCTTTGTTTTTGTTGATGTGTGTTTTTGAGTTTGTGTTCTTTGATGGTTTTTATTTTTGCTGTTTTGTTGGTATGCTTGTTTGAATTATTTAATGTTTTATGCTTTGATTAAATATTTTGTTGGGGGTTGTTCTGGTTTTTGAGTTGCTTGGTGGTTCTTATCTTGTTTTCTGTGAATTTTGCTGATTTTGTTGTATGCTGTTTGATTATTTGGTTTTCAGGCTAGAAGTGCCATTTTATGTATTTTTTTGGGGGGGGGGTTCGTATTTTGGGTTGGATATTTTGTCGTTTGTTTAACGGAATTTCGTCAGCAAAATGTTGTCGTTTTGTTTGTATTGTTTATGCATAAGACTCCGCCTATGCATCGTGCGCAAGGCTTCGGTTTCCCGCTGCCCCGATAAGCGTCGGGTTGTAAAACTATATCCGTTTCTAAAAACGATCTACGACGAGCCCGACCAATATTTCATTCATTTTATGAAGGTTTGGGCGCTGGACGCCAAAACAACGGAGCGGCCATCTTGAAGTCGAGAGATATTAAACTAAGAGGTTAAGATGCTCGACTACTTTGCCGCGCTTTGCTCAAAGTGCCCTAATTATTGTCCTAGGCAACAGGTTTCGGCGGCTGTAAGTTTGGGAATTTTAACAAGGTTTTCTCGCGTACACAAAGGAGCCGGAGGCTAAAGCAGATTAAACATTTGAAACACTTTATTTATTGTGTTTTTGCCCTTACTAAAATTCCGGAAAAATAATTTGTCGACCGCAATCCAAAATATGTAACATATTAGTTTAAGTCTAAGCGAATCGAATAATTCGTCCATTAATAATATAGTGGAGTTCGAATATAAAATAATATAATTGCGAAGGATCAGCATACCTACCGCAAACATCATCGTGTTTACATTAAAAAAAGGAAATATTCAAAGAAAAAACAAAAGACTCACTTTATAACTAGTGAATTATGTTACAAACAAAACCTTAGCATATAGCAAAAATTACAAACCTTTAAAAAATATAAACAAAAACAAATAAACATATTTAGAATTAAAATTCCCAAATATATTTAGAACAAAGATTACTACAACATTTCATAATACAATAGAATTATATACTCTTAACTCCAACATATTGTGTTAAACAATATTCAATATATATATATATATATGGTACAGCGTTGCCAGCCCCCCCCCCCCTCCCCCCCCAATGGTCATGGGTCAGGCAAGTACCCCCCCCCACCCCTGTGGTTGGGTTGTGGTGGTTTAGGGTTGGTTTAGAAATGGTTTAGGGTATATTTAGGGTGTATTTAGGGTTAGTTTAGGGTTGGTTCAGGGTTGATTTAGGTTGATTTATGTTGATTTAGGGTTGGTTCAGGGTTGGTTTAGGTTCAGAGGTGTACGGTTTAGGGTTTGGTTTAGGGTGTATTTAGGGTTGGTTTAGCGTTAGTTTAGGGTTGGTTTAGGTTTAGGGTTTATTGTTTAGGGATTGGTTTAGGGTGTATTTGGGGT